GAAAAAAAGGCAAAAAAAAAAAAAAAAAAAAAAAAGACTACTTCTACAGATTTCGCCAAGACCACACTATAGACAAATAATATTAAAGAGAAACAATATTAAACTATTTTCAATTTGCCACAGACTTTAAGCATCGACTAAAGTTTGACAATAAACAAAGAGTATATATACATAATACGTGTGTGTGTCAAATATATGGCAGTGTGTGTATTTTTTTCTTTATTGATTTAATGTATCTTTTACGCATGATTTAAAAAAAATATTAGCATTGTGCACTCCTTCTTTATATTCTCTATAAGTGTGGGAAATTTCATACTCCTCCGTCCGCGCAATTTTCGTAAAAAGGGGTACAAAGTTTTTGCATCACGTGTTAATATATAGATTTATTTCTAACTAGACTATGACCGAGCTTTGCTCGGTATTTTTTTTATATTTTATATGTAAAAGACACAAATAATATAAACAAACAATTCATTTTCTTGGTCTAACCTGAAACCAAATACTCATTGGCTTCGGGTGGCTTAACAACGCCGTCTGCTGAAAGAGCTTAATAGTATTATTATTCACCAATAGATGTCGGGAAGAGACAATCGATAAAGTTGATTATTGAAAACACGATTAAAACAATATTTTCTGAAAATAGTTCGTAGCTAGATCGATTTATCGCCCCCGAAATCCCCTGTATACTAAATTTTATGAAAATCGTTGGAGCCGTTTCCGAGATTCAGATTATATACATATATATATTGATATACAAGAATTGCTCGTTTAAGGGTATATATAAGATTAAGAGACGTTTTGTCATTAACTCTAAAACTGTTTGCACGTGAACAATTAAATGTGATTGTTCAATTCGTTAAGTGATTAAATAATTTAATTGCTTTTAAAATTTGATACGTACACAAAGACATCATAATTTATTATAAGTAACACTGTCTGTAATATCAATCTGTCTATGAAGATAATATCTAATATATAAAATTCTCGTGTCACAATGTTCGTTCCCATACTCCTCCGAAACCGCTTGACCGATTCTTATGAAATTTTTTATGCATATTCAATAAGCCTGAGAATCGGCTACTATCTATTTTTCATACCCCTAAGTGATTAGGGTTGTCCACCCCTAACATATTTTTTTTATTTTTTATTTGTTATAATGAGGTATTATGTGGTTGAATTAGGTTTTGTTATTTTTATTATATATTCCCTCAACGTTCACAGCGCTACATGCCTCTTTCACTCATTTACCACATCCTTACACACTTACAATAAGTTAGTTTTTTTTCTACAATAGAAATTCCCTAGAAATCTATACTAATATTATAAAGAGGAAAGATTTGTTTGTTTGTTTGTTTCGAATAGGCTCCGAAACTACTGGACCGATTTGAAAAATTCTTTTTCCATTAGAAGCCGACATTGTCCCTGATGAACATAGGCTACTTTTTTTTATTTTTTTTTATTTTATTTTTTTCGTTTCATGTGTGTTTTAATGTTTCCAAAGCGAAGCGAGGGCGGGTCGCTAGTCTTATATATGGCAAAACAATTTTTGCCGGGACAGCTAGTAATTGATAAAAGATTAATAATAAATGATTTAACTCTCGCTGCCGCTGTGTGCTTAGTGCGNCATTGTCCCTGATGAACATAGGCTACTTTTTTTTATTTTTTTTTATTTTATTTTTTTCGTTTCATGTGTGTTTTAATGTTTCCAAAGCGAAGCGAGGGCGGGTCGCTAGTCTTATATATGGCAAAACAATTTTTGCCGGGACAGCTAGTAATTGATAAAAGATTAATAATAAATGATTTAACTCTCGCTGCCGCTGTGTGCTTAGTGCGAGTTTACACGGAAACTTATGCAAAAAATACAAAAAAAAAAAAATTATCAATACTTATTATTAATTCATTACAAAATTCGATAATTTTTAAAAAGAAACAAAGACTTTAAGTAGGCGTTGATAAGATAACTTGTAACGAAATCGTGTTCGCGTTTATTATAAAAGAAGTTTTTTTTTTAATATATTTCAACTATCATAGAACAAAATTGTGCTCGGTACAGGCGTTTCAAGTTATCGGCGCATGATGTCGAAGACTGTAATATTTACTCTCGCCATTCTGATTGGGATCAGCGTAAGTTATTAAAATTGTTAAACTTCACTGGTGGTAGGACCTCTTGGGAGTCCGCACGGGCAGGTACCACCACCCCGCCTATTTCCGCCGTGAAGCAGTTATTGCGTTTCGGTTCGAAGGGTGGGGTAGCCGTTGTAACTATACTGAGACCGTAGAACTTATATCTCGAGGTGGGTGGCGCATTTACGTTGTAGTTGTCTATGGGCTCCAGTAACCACTTAACACCAGGTGGGCTGTGAGCTCGTCCATCCATTAAAGCAATAAAGCTGTGGAGT